AACATCCGCAGCAAATAAGGGAAGTTGGTCTGACCTTCTACGAGATTGCCTTTGGTCTACACCAAAACGGCGAACTGTATTTGTCTCTGAATGGACAAACCGTTGCGGAACAGACCGTGAGTTTCACCTGGAACATTCTTGTCTTGTCGACGTGGAACGCATGTACTCCCAGTATAAGTAAATGGAAAAGTAAGAAACGAACGATTATAAGTACTCTAAGTTGTAAATTGGCTAATGAGCTCACCTCACTGCATTCAAAGTCTCTTCTTCAGAGCAACCAGGATATGCGGCCGTGTGTTAATTGGGTCATTATGAGGGGTCACATTTGAAGAATAAATATTGATATCCGACTAGGGAAACCATTTTTGCCTCCGCTAGGATATGAACTGCACGTTGAAGACGTAAATAACCATCCACAATGCCAGTGCTTCCATTCGGACTTTATATAATCTGGGCAGGCCGTTGAATACAAGACTGGAATCTTTGCATTATGTCAGTGCGACAAAGAAAAGGCGGATTTTATGTTGACACAATATACAGCTCGAGTTACAATGTGCCAGCCGAACCAGGAAAACCACCAACTTTCTTTTTAAAAACGCATAATTAAACTTTATTTACCGGTTTGATGCATCAGAATTCGTGTCTATTAAATAATATTCTACAATAAGGAGAGGAGGTGCAGATGATTTAATAGAGTACTTTTGAATTGGGGATTACAGTATGGTTTCGAGCTCACACCGCTTACTTTGCATAACTGCTTACTCAGGTTAGTAAGTTTAGTTTTAGCTAAAGTTAGTTTTAGTTTTCTTTAGTTTTTATTTTATTTAACTTTAAGTTCTGTTTACCTTCTAGGGATGTTTTAGTTTATTTACTTTGGAGTTTAGTTTAGCCTTAGTTAACTTTATTTTTTAGTTTATTATTTACTTTTATTAGTTTTATTTTAGCTCAATATAGTTTTTTGCAAAGTTCTGCAATTTATGCGGTTCTTGGTTCCTGATGGTTCTATTTTTCATCTTCACTTTTCATTTTTTGCCAAACATTAGGTTTTTAAATAATTCTTCCTATCATTTGCCATTTTATATGCTCTATTTTTTTTCTTCCCGGATATACTCCACCCATTTATCCCCTTTAACCACCGTTTCATTATAGCAGAATGCTAGGGTTTTCACCTGATATAACGAGCTCGAAACCAGACTGCTATCGAAATGGGCTTTCTATAGTGCAGGATCAAATTAAAGGCTGAAAGTGACAGAAAGCCTGCATAGAATGCAGGAGATCAGTGGTTCACT